AAATGGAATTAATGAATCATAACAGCTGTTTCAATTAAACAAGTTGGTTCTGTTCTATGATGTTCAATAGCATTAAAGTTACAAGGATTACCAACAGAGTGCAGCACTATTATTTTTTTTTAATATTTGACAACAGCTAATTTGAAACCAAAAGGTGAGTGAGCGTAGCGAACGAACTTCAACCCAGAGGCGAGGTAGCGTAGCGAACGAGCTAACCTGAAGGCAAGTGAGCGCAGCGAACGAGCTCCAACCGTAAAGGTGAGTGAGCTTAGCGAACGAACTTCAACCAGGACATGTGAGCGCAGCGAACGAGCTCCAACCTAAAGGTGAGTGAGCATAGCGAACGAACTTCAACCAGGACGTGATTTAGCCATGCGAACGAGCTCACATATGAAGTTAAACGGGGCAAAGCCCGCGGGTACAGCTAGTTCTATATATAATTCAGTTTTAAAAATCTTTGTACAACTAAATCTAGAGTTTTACTGGACCGATTTTATTAATTAATGGGTCGTTGGAAAGCTTAGGTCGTGAAGATTTGCAAATAATTATGAAAATTTGTTTTTGTTATGATTTTTTGGTGCAAAATTTTAAAAAACATATTTTCCATAAGAAATACATTGAAAACTGTGTTTTTTACACTTTTTATTTGGGTCCCGAACTAGAATTGCAGTTCCTCCATGTGCAGTGTTGTCAGGATGACTAGTGTAGTACAATTTGTAATATGGAATTTTGAAATAGGTTCTATCTGTAAAATGAGTTTCCGAAATAAGCAATACGTCTAATTTGTGTTGAGTAATGAATAATTGAACCTCTTGGCTGTGCTGAGCCAAGCCATTAGCATTCCATAATGCCACTTTAAGGAGAATATTCATTTTAGGCGGGCAATAACGGTAGTAAAGTATTAATCTGTTCTGCTTGTTTAGATAATATGCTCTCAAAACGTGAAAAACAATTTTTTATAGTGTCAGACAGATTGTGAGATTTTGTGGTTTGTTCACTAACATGATGATGACTGGAGTGACCAACTTCACTACCATTCCGCGCAGTTTGAGCAAATGTTATCCCTTCTTTTACTAATGAACTTTTAGGTAAGGTATTACTGGTATTAGAATAGTGATGTGGGCCGGGTAAATACCCAGTGGGTAGGTAAATATAAATTGGGTATTTACCCCAGGCCCGGGTAAATACCCAAAAACTGGGTATTTATAATTCGAAGTGACTATTCGCACGTCAAAATGCTCCACAGCCCGTTCCCGTTCCAGTTCCATAATATTACAAAATAATGCAACGGGAACTTTCAGAATGTTCAGTTTCGTTTCAGTTACTGTACTTCTAAGTTTTGAAGCCTTGAAACATTCAAGAACAATCGATGGAGCCAGAAATAAAGGTGTTAAAAGTAGAAAAAAACACTTAATGATAATTTGAAATATTATCAATTGACTTACAGATGAATACACAGTGGTACAAGGAAAAGTACAAGCTCGGGAAAGCAGCCAAATCAAAAATAATAAGATTTTAAGTACCGGTAGGCCAATTAAAATTTTACTTATTAGCTTACACTGTAAATGTTAAGCTTTAGACCGATGACAGCCTGGTGATTTACTAATATTATATCCTAATGCCTAGCCTACTTCTGGGCTATCTAGGCCAACATAGGCCTACCAATATTAGGCCCTACCTTTTATAGGCCTAGCCTTTGATATGGTAAAGGTAAAGTAGGCTAACATAAGGCCTATGCTTAAGTTTTTTACGATTCCTATATTCAATCTTCTAATGTGTATTTCTAATAAACATTTTATTTATTGGCCAGCACCTATATTTTTGATTGCTTATAACCTCTTTGGCTCTGTTCAACTCTTTTATCGTTCCCTCTACGAAGTTGATCCCATCCATTTCGATTTTGGCTAATATAATGGCTAATATGAGGTACTACCGGTTACCGTTCCTAATACTAGGATATCTTTGTGTGCAACCTGTTCCCAAACAGCTATAACAGTTACTAGATTATAAACGTAATGTGACGTCATTTGGAGCTGACGTGCGTGGTAGCGGCGCACGTCTGACGTGCGAATAGCCACTGCCTTTATAATTTGTATTAAAGTTAGAGAAGATTGAGATTTTTTTTGCAATTATTACCCTGTAAGGATAGTAAAATGATAATAAAATGTGTTAAACAAAATTTCATATGATGGACACTACTAGCATTTTACTTCTCGGTATAATCCCCATAAATACCCAGGTCTGAGCATAAAGCATAAATACCCTGGTCGCATGGTTGCACTGGTCCTTATGCAAACTATGTAATCAATTAACTCAATAACGGCTGAACATATTGAATAACGGCGAGTGGTCCGGAGTGTGGGAACTGTTAATGACGATTAGATTAAGGTACAGTATCTGTTATCCTAAAATGCTATGGGAAGGGAGGGAAACAGGTCCGTGACGTAGGAAGTCGTGATGGAAGCAGTAAAAGTGAGCGGTCCGGAGTGTGGGAACTGTTTATGACAATTAGATTAAGGTATCCACAATCTTAAAATGCTATGGGAAGGGAGGGAAATAGGTCCGCGGCTTAGGAAGTGGTGAAGGAAGTAGTAAAGGCAATTAGTACGGAGTATGGGAACTGTTTATGACGATTAGATTAAGGTATCTACAATTCTAAAATGCTATGGGAAGGGAGGGAAACAGGTCCGCGGCGTAGGAAGTGGTGAAGGAAGTAGTAAAGGCGAGTAGTCCGGAGTGTGGGAACTGTTAATGACGATTAGATTAAGGTATCTGTTATCCTAAAATGCTATGAGAAGGGAAGGAAACAATGACGTAGGAAATGGTGAAGGAAGTAGTAAAGGCTGGCATCGCAGAGTGGGGGAATGATTTTCCCCGAGCAAAGCTCGGTCTCCAGGTACTTAGTTTATAAACAGTAAAAGAGAGTATTCAAAACTATAGAAACTGTATTTTCGAAGCAGGAATTCAGTATTTTCAAATATTATTAACGGTAGCCTATCCTAAATAAATACAGTGATTTGCTGGGCTTGCACACTAAAGTCCAGTTGCGACTACAATAAATAAATAATTACCTAGGATTTTATAGAAGTCCACTTTAACCAAGGCGTGTAAATAATTGGTTAGGCTTGTACAGTTACGATTACGATGCGTAGGCCTAATGCCTAGACTGCTAGGCCTATACAGAAGTTCAGTTATAGCTATTTATTATAATTAAATATTTAACTAAACTTGTTAACTTGTGTTGTCCAATTTATAACTTATAAGTGTGGAAATAATTTTCTCTGTGCAGATATACAGACACAGTTACAATTACACATGCCAATGTTGTAAATATATGTTCAGTAATTTATGTCTGTTTGTTTAAATGTATATATTTTTTATTTGAAAGTCTGACGCCATCAATCCCTTTTGGGTAAAAGATGAAGATAATAAGGTAATAATTACAAAAAGTAGAGCCTAGACTGCTTGGTCTGTACGGGAGTCCAGTTATAAAATAAGCGTGATTTAATATTCCTATTTTTTCCGTAATACTATAAGATGAATTATTACAGCTAACAGAACAGCATGTTGGCAATTTTATGTCAGGTTGAAAATTTAGTACAACCCAATAAATAGGCTTTACATCAACACAGTGCAGGTTCTCAAATTAAATTGCCATAGCCTAATATAAAAACGTCTTTTATATTTGATTTTAATAATTTTGTTGTACAGTAGCTTATTATGCATATAGAGTATTTTACTTAATCATGCTGTAATTTAGCATGAGGAATAAATATATTCTTGTTTAATTCATCAATTCTCTATCCAGTGCCGTCTTTAAAATCTAATCTATTTTTTGAATACAGTAGGCCTATTTTGGCAAAGGGGCGGAGCTAGCGCAAACGTCACCAATTCAATGCCACTAGCGTCGCGGCAACCACCATCTTTTTCAGGGTATCATCAGCTCGTGAAATTAGCCACGCCTTATTACCTGTGGTGACCATTGACTATGGTATTGCTATATATAGTCAGTCACCTTCTGTCATTCTGTTCGCTGAGCAAAGTTTACTGATTGGCTAAATGTTTTAGTTGGAGAAAATGAGAAGGAAGCCTATAGGCCTATTACATAAATGGGAGCTAAACAAACATTAGGATATTGACAAAATAATACTTATCTTTATGCTATTACAAACACACAGATTTACTATTACTCATATATACAAGTAAAAATCAATGACCTAATAGAAACAGCAGACTGGATTCATATTTCCTTCAACTCTTCCAACCAACCACGAGAATTCAATTGGATTGTTGTTATGGTGACGTCATCATGTATTCAATTTGAATCATGAAAACAAATTAAAGTTATTTGTTTATATCAAAGCTTGCTTACTCCGCTCAATTGGCGGACCTGAGGCCGCATGCCTAGTTTAACTTTCATAACCTTGCTGATAATGAAAAATTGAATGAAGGTTTACTAATAAAAAAAATAGTTCTGTTCATAAAATAAAATTACAAATGCCTAAAATTCAATTTTATAATTTTAAATTATAAAATTAAACTGTCATATTAACCTAACCAAACCAACCAAACTTGCTGATAATGAAAATATCGAATAAAGGTTTACTAATCAAAAATAGTTCCGATCATAAAATTATAAATGCCTCAAATTCCAACAAATTCAACCAGGACGTGATTGAGCCATGCGAATACTTATGAAGTTAAGCGGGGCAAAGCCCGTGGGTACAGCTAGTAGTCTATATAAATAAATCATTGTAAGTATCATTGTAATACAATTTTACCTTATTCTGTTCATAAAACTGTCAGATCATTTTGTAACACCCACTTTTACCACTTAGATGTGTATCGTATTGGTAAGCATATATTTTGGAAAGATGTGTATTGTATTGGTATTCATATATTTTGGAAGGATTAGGCCTATTAGATGTATTTTCTTAGTCTTATAGTTACAGTTTATAATTCCAATTATTTTTATATTGCTGAGGAATCTTCCAATCTAGGAATCATGAGCTTCGCAAATCTTGTAAAAAACTATGAAGCCAAAGGAAAAATTAAGTTGAATCCTGGACAGTGTACGGGCAAAGTTGAAGTAAAAGATGAACGACTGTCAGCATCCAAATATGCCCCACCTGTGGGAAAAGGTGCTGAATATGTTTGCTCATTAAAGACCAAGGAGAAAGAGTATATGGAGGTAAAGTAAAATATCATACTACAATATTATTTAAACAATATCATATGCCACAGTATCACAAACTGTAAAATGAGTAGGGTATTATTGCTTGCACTTTTTCTTCATAAATGATGCCAACTACAGTCCTTATTTTGTTTTTTCTGACAGATCCTCTGGTTTTAAAGAAAAACTTAATTTTGCTATAAGGCTGAATTAAAACTCATAATATTTTAACTTACCTACTTTGTATGGTCGCCATTTAATAAGAAAGTATTAAAGTATTAACATTTTGGTTTACAAAATTGTGATAGAGTAACACAATAACAATGAGCGTGTTCTGAGAAATGCACAGTTTAACCATTTCATTGTACCAGTAAATTATTCACGAGTGTACTAGATTGAAATTTCCTCGTCCTTTTTACACTTGGCCTACTTGTTATGAACTCCCTTAATCTTTAACTGATTAATCCTGACTACTGGATTTAAAAAATACAAACAATTTTTTGCAAATGGTTTTAAATATTAAATACTCTTAGTACCAAGGGGTTTGATGTGAACAGTGGAAACAATTACAACTGGTACCGTATTAAGTTATTTACATACCATTTTTAAAACTAACCTTTTCAATTCAATTTTTTTATCGAAAAGATTCACTTTAGCACATAGTTTACTTTACAGCACTAGTGTAGTAAACTAACAGACAAAAATTTTTTACTTCGAGGTTCAAGGATTTAGAGAAAAGAAGCAAAACTTTAATGCTTCAAACCCCAAATTAAAAATAAACTATTCCAATACTTTAATTTAGTACAAGCTGCTATACCCGCGCTTTGCAACGGGAAGAAAATGTGACCTAGAGAGCTATTAAAGTGGTGCTGATGTGTGTTTTAAAATACAGCAACTCTATGATTAAGTTTGAAAATATAAACTGATTTAAAAACGTAAACCTACTTACTTTCAAACCCCTACTTTTGATGTTAATAGACCCGTAAGAATATGACAACATACCTTAGTGTATAGCAATAGCATCAATTGCTTCATATTGGTGCTTCATGAATGACATGTTTTACCATAATAATTATTCAATTTTAGTCAAGCCTCTTCACATATAAATTAAAAAATGAAACTTTGAGCAATACTACAAAACGTATACAACCTCACTTTAAAACCAAACATAACCCTCATTAATCTACATTAAGCGTCACAAACATCTTATTCGAGTAAATAAACAAACACCAGTTCATTGTACTGACCAGCTGTTTTATTAACTAAATTAAATTAAATCATTTAAACTGTGGAAGCATGCCAGGCGTAGCCCTTTGGAAACCAGCCTGTGGGGCAGGGCCCTTAGGAAATTTGTCCATATCAATACTTTTCGGCAAATCTACACACTCTAAGCTTCATTTTGATGTGCCATATGCCTATATTTTTTTTTCGGTAAATGACCTTAACCGTTTACATAAAATTTGATTGTATCACTTTAATAATATAATAGATAGCTAATAAATATGTAATGCCTATTTGTCTAATTGTTCTTGAAACCGTAGCTATGGTGAGAATGCTGCTAGCAGTAACTATTCCCTGAAAGAATACCAGAAAGAGCATAAGTAATGAAGCTTTACAAAAGTTGTTAAAAATGGTCATAGGTTGCGTAGATAACCTTGACACTTTTTAATTTAAAATTTCTACTTGTGTCATAAAGACTATATCCACACAATTGTTGCATAACTACTAATATTATTATTTTTATCTTAATTTACAATCATAAAAAAAATAAAGTTAACATGCACTTTTTATGCTAGGTATTATATAAGTTGACAAGTATTGTCTGTGTGCTGAGTGTTGTGTTTAGCAATATGTAGCCTATACGTAATCTTTACTCAATGATTATATTTCCATGAAAGTCTTGTCATTTTGATTCAGAGTAACTGGCACAAGACTTGATAAGTTTTGTAAATAGTGCAATTTTGGTCGTCAGTTTGGGGATACAGATAAGGTTTTGTTAGCTTGTAGAGTATTTGGTTTTTGCTATGATGCAAAAAGCCTATATAGAATCAGCTAAATAGATACATTGTTGATCAAAATTGTGAAGTATAAAAGAAAATATAGAAAATAGACAAAGCTTATCCAAAATATACAATTTGTTCACAGCACAATTTAGTAGTTTAGTAGGTATAAAGGAGAGGAAAGGTAATTGTTAAAAAAAGAGCTTTTAATTATGAGTGTCCTGTATAAAAAAGTCAAAACTCACATTTCTGAGTACTGTACTTTGTTTATTGCTGTAGATGAAGAACGCCTCGAAAAACCAAGGCATTAGAAGAGTGGATGTGACAAACGGAGAGACTAATGAGAGAGAAACAGCAAACGAACTGACCTCCGTTGGGACTGCGCTCAGTGTACGAGACCTGGACAGAGAAGAACTTACTCAAGTCTACAGCAGATATCAGTTTGATCCTGTGGAGCCCAATGAACAGCTGGAAAACATCCACAGTAAAAAAGAAGAGGTATTGTTTGAATAAAGTTTGAAGTAATTTTTTTTTATTGGACAAATAGTTTTTAATGTGAGAATTGTTTTACCTTAAGACTGATAACAAGAGTTTAATTAATAACAATGCAATTCCCGATACTCTTAACACAAGATACACCATAATTTTTACAGCAATAGGGGTTATACCGTTTAGTTTAGAGTGAAAAAGACTATAACATAGCCTACTAAACACTGTATTTATAAAAATTGTTTTTGGCCATTTTCATAAAATTATATTTTTTTGGTATTTTATGGATTGTAACCTGCATCTGGCGAACAACTAGGCTATTGACTAGTCCCTAAAACTATTGCCTCCACTGGCAAACGACTAGTCACTAGTCGATTTGAGCAATTTTTTAACTGCTAAGTTTTAACAGAAAACATCACTTTATTAGATATTGCTTTATATAATTTTGCACAAGAGATTCTAACGTTTATTTTGATATATGGTTTGTGTAGTTACTGTGATGTAACAATACTTTAAAAGTTGAGAACAAAAACATAGAATGACGCAACTGTGTGTTTAATGCTGTGTGACGTAAAATTCACTCTTATATTCTTTACATAAATAATGATAAATATGACTTATAGCGAATTTTCCTATAGGGAAGTTGCTATTACCATAGGTGGCACGGTAAGACCTAGGCCCGGGACCGATTTATTTTTCATTTTTATGTCCCCAGAGGCTATGAACACCATTCGTTCAAATTTCTATATATATACATATCTAAAAAAAAACACTAAGTGGTAACACTTTCCCCGCCAAGTCAGCAATCCAAAAAAGATAATAAATCATTACTACTTTTCCGCCAAGAAAAACAATGTAATGTATGTAAGTTTGGCAACTTGGTGGCAGACTTTTGATGGGTTTTTTCATTTAAGTTACGTTCGTGGATAATTTCACAAATCAACTTCTCTAATTAATTAGTCCAACTAAGTGTAATAATTTCGAGGTAATCAGTAAATATAAAACCATCACTATTATGATTTTATGAAATGCGGCACAAATAAGGTCAAATTTTGTAAAATAAATTCTCACCTAGCAATGTACTAATGGGAGAGATACCTGCTCAATGAAACTAGTTTTATGGTATTTTTTAAAGTGATCGAGCAAAAGTCTGCCGCCAAGCTCCCAAACTTACATACATTACATTGTTTTTCTTGGCGGAAAAGTAATGATTTATTATCTTTTTTGGATTGCTGACTTGGCGGGGAAAGTGTTACCACTTAGTGGTTTTTTGTTAGATTTTATTTATTTTTGTAGAAAATTAACAATAAAAATCCTCTTTTCTCTGATATATAGATGACGGCACAACTACATCTCATTTAATTTCAATAATATTGTTTGTGTAGAACTAAATTCTAAATTTTTGGTCTTACCTGTTTTAAACCGATTAAAAACTTTTTGACACACGTACCAAAATTACTATTTAACAAACCCCCTGGGCTTAAACTCAGTTTCAAATTTCATTAATGGTCATCTTGAACAACATAAAATGCGTTGGTGTTACATAAGTGTTCTAATAATTAAACCCATATATCGAAAGGCTAGTGTAAATTGAGCCCTTATTAGAGAAGTAAAAATGTAATCAAACAGATTAGGTTTGTTAGAAATAGCATAAGGCAAAACAAATATTGAAAAACTCATTTATCCTAAATTTACATATCACTTTTTAATTGCTTGTTTAACATATGTAGAGTGATTTTCCCGATTGTTTTATTTTTTTTAGTGTATCAAACATAAAACAAACCTTAGTACTAGTACTAAGTTTCAAGTTCCTAGGTTTCATATGTTTTGATAAGTAGTATTAAACTGTTAAAAATGACGAGCTGCTGTACCAGTGTACCATCTGTACACTGCATTTTTCAATGGAAAGTATCGGGGAATATCACTTCTCTAAGTAATTTTATATAGTAAGTAGTTCAAATCATTTGGTATACCGGTACCTAAAAAAATACTTTATAAAAGTTTTAAAATAATTTTTCAGCTGTTGCTATGGATTTCTCTAACATTTAAATTAATTGAGATTTAATCGCAGCTGGTCCTTCTTTTGTTTTGATTTTAATCCCATGTTATTTAAATGGGCCAAAATCGTACTTTGAGTGCTTGCCAAGGGTTTATGGGTCAACGCACCGACTTGAGACCCTCAAAAGGCACATCTACACGTTAAAGGCTTTCAAACAACATAAAAAACTTTAAAATTGAGCCAGTGGTTTGGGCTGTAGGTCCGTCAACATTCAAGGAGAAGAAGGAGAACACGGAAAATTTGCAAATTTTCAAACTAGTTTTTCTTGGCTCAAACACAACTGTTTTTTTAATTATTTTTTTAATTTTGTTGAGAATGAGTGCCCCTATCCAGTAGACGAATAACTATTTTAATAGCTTTTGTTTCTTCAGAGCTATAGACGAGTAAAAAAGCCACTTTGTCACGTCATGTATATATACACTGCAGCAGCTGTGTACCGCTGGGGGACTTGGCGGGGCGGAACGCTGCCGCGTTCTTTAATCCAAATACTATGTAGGCTATGGGGGGGGGGGGGGGGGGGGGGAGAAAGTAAAAAACAAAAAGGTCAAAATATGACATCCTCATTTATAAGTATTATCATAATCAATAGAGATGGGGCCGCCACCAGGGTGTGTATTTGAACTCAAATATAAGTGAATGACAGTGGCGTAGCGGTAAGCACTAGGGACGGGAGTGGCGCCCGTCTAGGATATTTTTTTTACATTGTTGTCAAGCGTTGTAGGGGCGGAAGGAAGGGAGGGGAGGGGGGATTCACTGATCAGTCAAATAAATAAGTGAATACTGAATACTACTGTAGTGATTCGTGAGGTTATGTTTATTGTGCCGCGCACGCCGGTATTCATTTATTAATATACTACTGTTTCTTTAGAAGTGTTGTTTAGTGTCAATAATGAACTATGAATTCGGTTAAAAATATTTCTACAAAGTATGTGGGGTGGTGAGGTGGTAAGTATTGAGCAGAGAGTTGATTTAAAGCTGCAAGGCCCACCAAAACCCGATTTAGTTCTTACATAATATCGAAAAGCCTGTAAACGTAGGAAAGGATGTATTTTTGTACTGTTCAATTCCCAAACGGGCATTATATTCTAACAAAGTGCACCGACATAAACGTCACCGACATCAACCCGCCATTTGTAAATTTGCGTCCTTTGCTCAGTTCCCGCTGTTTACTTGCACTTGGTAAAGCTATCCTGTTTTGAGGAGATTTCTAAGTAAGGATAAGTTCCGTCCAATGAACTTAATTTAAATTCATGTTTTTATATTCGAACACCCTAATCAAATGCTGTAGGTTAAATATAATAAACCCAATAAAAATACCAATTTATGTTTTACAAATTATTATGTCCATATTTTGTATAAAAACGATTGTTTTACAGTTATTATTTTTTTAAATATATACTTTTTGGAGGGTATGGGGTATTCCATACCCCCCGATACTGGGGGTGGGGGAAGGGCTTGGGCCATCCCTGCTCCAGGGCGCCCCAAACCTGGCTACGCCACTGGTGAATGATGATATCTTTGTTATCAATAACTAATTTTGGTATACAAAATTAATATTTATTATATTTTAAAATAACCAGGAGATTAGAAGCTACGTGGAAAAATAATTCTCTTTTCTGTTCTTAGATAATGAGTATAATAAATTGTAATACAGTCTGCATCATCAAAGGACATACTGGATGTGGGAAAAGTACACAGATTCCTCAGTTTATTCTTGACTCACATGTAAAGCAGCAGAAATATTGCAACATAGTAGTGACTCAGCCTCGCCGTATGGCTGCCATCAGCATTGCACGACGAGTGTGTGAAGAGAGAGGCTGGGATGTTGGAGGCATTGTCGGCTATCAGGTACTCCTCCCAACTTACTATGTAACTGTCTATATTCAGATGTTGGAGGCATTGTTGGCTATCAGGTACTCCTCCCAACTTACTATGTAACTGTCTATATTCAGATTACTTAACACTAACATTGCAACATAGTAGTGACTCAGCCTCGCAGTATGGGTACCATCAGCATTGCACGACGAGTGTGTGCAGAGTCAGGGGTCTCAATCCCGGGCCTTCAATCCAATCCTGGGATTTCGAGATTCGTCTCAGCCGATCCCGGGATCAATCCCGGGATCAATCCCGGGATTATATAATTTTATGATATTATATCTTTCTGGACGGGATATTTTCCTGTGCATAAAAAGAAAGACATGAGTATTGCAGTTACAAAAAAAGCAAACAAAATCAATTTTACCATTTGTGGCACTGATCTATAAAAACAAAAAATGGGTAAAAATTTATAGATATAAAAACTTGTGACTAGTGGTCGAAATGACTCGCGGTCACAGTGAGATCATCAAAATGACTCGCGGTCATGGCGGGATCGTCGGAATGACTATGGTATGACTATGCGGTCACTGCGTGATCATCGGTATGACTCACGGTCACGGCGTGATCGCCAGTATGACTCCGCGGTCACGGTAGATTATACGTGTTCATGATATGTCCGGGACAAAAATTTCAAAATTAACCATCATTGTTGTAGCCCCTCATATCTAAACAGGTTGCCGCAAACCGCTCAAAAGGTTTAAAAGTTAAGGCGGTTGCTAGTTAATTTTCAGCCACCCTCATGGTTATTTGGATTTGAAACGTTTTAGGGCATCATTTTGTTATTAGTGGTTCGATTTTGGTTTTCTTTATATATGTCAATTGCTTAGTTTTGTCAAGACCTGTAAAATGATACTAAACTCGACTATACTTGCTATTTGAAAATTTTAAGCTAGGTACTCCCGCTAAGGGCAAAATTTTCAAAATTAACCATAATTATTGTAGCCCCTCATTTCTAAGAAGGTTGCCGCAAACCGATTTCAAATACCTCAAATAGTTGAAAAGTTAAGGGAGGGTGCAAGTTACTTTTCAGCCACCCTGTATATTCTTCCTCTTAGTTAAGTTTGTAATATTGCAATTCTAATTTAAGTTAATTTTCTTTACCTGATGTAGTGTCGTTTGTAAATACTTGACTAGATTTCAGCTACTAAATCTTTAATATGACATTCTAACGATCCTAATTGGTTGGTGTGCTCCGTTAGCCTTAAAAATTGATACTGTATTACAGTAGAACCCCTCATAACCGGCCACCACGGGACCAAGCCCCTGGCCGGATAACGATTTGGCTGCATAAAACAACTTACAATGAAAATGATCATTCATACCAGTTATAACAATAGGTAATCAATATATGCAGTGAAAAGTATCATTCCAGTCTGTTCTGGGGTTATAAAAAAATAAAAATGTTTGTAAAAAGAAAAAAACATATTTGTAGGTTGAAATCGTTAAGTAATGAAGAGCGTACAAATATTATGATTCCAGGCAACAAAAACTATTAATGAAGGTAAAAATGACTATAAATTGGACTTGAAAATCATTAGGACTCAAATGGTACATGCATTTCAACCACAGAACGTGATTTCAACTCAACATTTTTATCCATTTTGTAATATACAAAAATTAATAATATACTGTACTGTACTAACCCTACTTTGGTAATAATCAACCAACTGATCAAAAGGTTTAGGCATACTAGCTCAACTTAGTATAGTGACACAGCAAAAAATGTATAATCAAACAGATAAATAGTGAGAACAATTTATTTGATAACTTGAGCAGTCACAAAGACTAGTGCTTGCATCTTAACGTCCGTAAGCTGCGAGAAAAACATTTTGATATTGGCTTCCTGGAAGGGGCCGGATAAACAGAGGACCGGTAAAACCAAGGCCGGATATGAGGGGTTTTACTGTATGTATGTCTGTAAACACCATGCCTCCCCCCCTCCTCGGTACCGCGCCGGCAGTGGCATGCAGCTTCTATGAAACTGAAGCAAATCCTTTCCTTACATAAATCCTCCTAGCTTGAGTCAGACATTATGTACAAAGCAGCCTCATTCATATAGAAATGATCAAAAGCTTAATAATGACACTTAAAGAGTGTTGAAACTGGTTGCCAAGGATTGTTGCCAATCATTATGTTGACAACAAGCTCTTTTATTGTAAAAAATTATATACATTAGGCTATATAAACTGGTCACGAGGTTATATTAACATTTCATTAGCCAATGATAGGCCTAGCACTACATCACCACCACCGCACTGAACACTAATATCTTCATCATAATTGTCGTAATAGTCCACTCTTTAAATTCAATCACCTTTCATTGTCTTAAGATTCCCTAATTTAATTATCTTGAAGAGAACATGACGTCCTGGTTACTCATTGCTTTCGAACAAACCAGAAATACCCAATTGCACAACGCACGACAACACTTGAGCTGAAATCTTAACTACCATAGTGATGTGTGTCAAGCTAGTGCAAAACAAAATATCCCAGAGAACCAGTGTTTTCCCCAAATAGAATGGTACGAAACATGGCATATTACTCTTCATCCTGTGGTCCTAGTTAGCTTGGGGAGTTCAATCTGGGGGGCTCCCATGGGTTAGCGGCGGATTACTGCATGGACGCATATAGTCAGCGGGTGCCTCAGAAGTAATTAAATATTAGAGAGGAAAAGTCGAGAGAATTTATATAAAAGAGGTTGATTTATTAAGAGGAAAAAATGAGTATGTGTTGTTAATTGTTATGAGAAGTGATTCGAGGCGAATGAATGCAACAATGGATATGGTCATGTGATGGGATTACATGGACAGTTAAAAACAAAGACATTTAAAAATAAATAGATAAAACAAAGACACTTGACGGAGCTATACTCTAATTGCTTTTCAAAAAAGTTCCTTATATACTCACTTGTTTGGTGATCTAACTGTTTGTAAACAAACTATTTATTTCCATCTCCAGGTTGGCCTGGACAAAAAGGCTGATGTGGACACACGTCTTCTATACTGCACAACAGGTGTTCTCCTGGAGAAATTGATCGCTAAGAAGAATCTTAATGATTACACACATATCATCCTTGATGAAGTACATGAGAGGGAAGAAGACATGGATATCCTCATGCTTGTTGTGAAACGCTTTTTGATGACTGCATCTCAAGATGTTAAAGTAAGTAGTGATTAGGGGACTCAATCCCAGGCCTTCAATCCAATCCCGGGATTTCGGGATCAGTCTCAGCCGATCCCGGGATCATATAATATTATGATTTTTAACTTTTTAGCCATTTTAAATGAGCGAAAAGTCCCCTCGTTGTGTACTTTAATGTTTTAAACTGGCCTTACCAGTGTTACACTACACAATGTTTCCGTTTTCTAAGTAAATAAATATTACCACACGGAACTTTCATCGCCCGTATTTCTTATTTACAGTGTATAAATGTTGATATGTCACTCTAGTCAGGCTAATAGATGGATTAAAGATAACTAAGATAATACTGTTAATACTGTTCTATGAAAAAACTATAAAAATATTCTATCAAAAGATAATACCCCGTCACAGAAAACCTGCAGGCTAAGCGAATTTCCATTTGCCTGATTGGATTTATACTAAAATGCCTCCTTGAAAATATCTAGGGGTCTGCGGTGCGCCGAAAAAGTCGGTACGGTACGGTACAAGCTTAATTACCATCATTTTACACGGTACAAATTCGGTTCGGTACAAATTTGGTTCGGTACAGCCTATTATAATAATAAATTACTTTCAGTTTACTAGTAGTTGAGCACATAAAAGTCTAATCAGATATTTGTTTACATCTTCATAATAAAAAACCCATTAGCAGTCCCAAATCCATTAACATTTTATCACGACAACAATTGTTGTATTCGAGTAGGCCTACTTCCAAGAACTGTTGAGTTTTAGCACTTTTATTTCTTGACTTTCCCCAATTCTATTTTATCATAAAAATAATAGTTTTACGATGACTGTTAAATGTTATCTCTAACTCAGTCAATATTTTCATGAATATTCAATTTGCCGCTGGCGATTGCCTACTGCCATAAAACTTTTTATGGCTGCATATTAAACTTGTAACTAATCTACAATCATATTTTATAAGTTAAAATATTTGTTATAGATATTTTATCTTTCCATTGACGAAACCACAAGCATAGTTAGTTGTTGTTTGCATAATATTTTTTCTCGTTATGCAAGTCTTCTCGGTGTCAAATTATGTAATTATCTTGTCTTATATTGTTAGATGGCTGTTTAAGGCCTAAATGTATTTTAGTTTCCTATATTTTTTGTTGTGTTGAAGGTACTTTATGCAATCTAAATCTTATGAACTAGATAATGATTTTGCTACCCTCATTGTAACCTAATCAACTTATATATAGGCCCTCCTAAATAATTAGGTCTAGGCCTGGGTCTTTTGATTCTTTGGAAGAGCTTTAAAATATACTAAGAAAATTTGATTGAGCCTGAGATAAACTAATGATTGATATGTGTGGATGTTAAATTTGTAAATGAAAAGACAATAATCTTACTCTATAATAATCCAAATTTTAGTTTCAGGAAAAAAAAAACTTTGCATGAGTAGTATCCATCTTATAATTAGTTTTAAAGCTGATAAAAAAAGATACTCTTTGCCATTAATTCATCATAACCTCCAGTTTTTCATTTTCGTCTGCTGTGAACAGCTGGCAACTACACTGTCTTCGTATTGAAAGCTTTTATATGTTTTAAAAAAATTGTAAAACAACTAGACATTGTTTTGGTTAGAAATAATTTACCAGTTTTGTGAAATTATCTTGTCAATAAATGTTTCAAACATGTTTATTCCTAAAAACTCTTATCCTAATTTTAAAACCACTTATCAATTATCAATTATCAATTATTTAAGATGGGGACGCCACTATGTGCATATTTTAACCCAAATATGAGTGAAGGATGAGTGTAGGATGAGTGGCGCGATCTTGTAGTCTTGTTAGTGACTTCATGGCTATTCAAAGTGTCTCAGAGTAAAATAGGTAAAGCCTTTATCTTAACTGTGATTTTTCTTGACACAATCCTCGTAGTAGTAAAAGGTTTTGTTTTAAAAATGTGCGGTACAGTAATTGTTGTTAGAAAACCATGAATGTAGGATACTATCCATTTTCATAGTAATGTCAATGTATTAAAGTTAAAAATAATGGTTTAAATACAGTTCTGAGAAGAAAACCGCAAAAATACGGGTAGCCGCATACCGTACCGATTTTGTACCGAGAATTAAGTAAATATTGTACCGTACCGGACCTTAAATTTTCTGTACCGCAGACCCCAAAGAATATCACATTATTTCCCTATTTAAATAGAATTAGTTTAACGAGTACTTAGGTTTGCTGCAACAGGGAGGGTAAAAAAGTGTTTTTTGTTGTAAAATGTTAATAGTTTAGTAAGAAATGAATGCATTTTCCAAATTCTATCAAAATATGTTCATAAACAAGCAAACTACAACAGTTGTCTTATTCTCAACCAGCTGTTGTACCCATGCTTCGCAACGGAGAGGACACTGAAGCGAAAACATTTGATCTTGAATTCCGTTATGTAAAATAATTAAACATTCCCCTTTGGTTTCAGGAACATAACTCAACTGAAACTCTTAGTTTGAAAAATATCTTTGTTTAAGGCTAGGCTAACTTATAAGGCTACCTAGTGCGAATTATATGAGGCGCTGATGCATTTATGGAAATAATGTACCCGTACGATTCAATTTTCAAATGATAAGCTTACTTAAACATTTATTTTGTTGAAAAACGTACATATAAAGTAAATAAGGAAAAATAATCGCACAACATAAAGCTCACTGTAGTAAAGCCACAAACAGTTTATTTATTTCACTTACAATTGATATGTTTTATTTATTTCACTTATAATTGATATGTTTACCATAGCTTCTGAGATTTTTTCAAAGTTCAATCTTTACCTGCAGACGTGTGTATATATAAGCTAAAATAAACTAATGGAAAACTTGTATTACCTTGTGTTAGAAAGCCAACCACTATTATTGTTAATCAGGGCACAAATTTCATAAATTTAAATATAAATCAACAACATAATACATAACAGTTATTATTTTTTATCGTTCCATAGTTCAAAACGTGTATGTATTTGCATTAGTTTACATCATTATTTAAAACATTGAGTAAAGAAACATAGTTACGTTACAGATTTTTAATTGATTTTAGAAACATAAGTGAAATGCGTGCAGCTTAGTTTTGTGATATTCTCCATAGTTAACAATTCAATTATCAATTATCAATCATTGAGATGGGGACGCCACCTAGTCAAATTAAAGCAGTGTTGTAAAAACACAACTAACTACTCTATGCTATGCAAACATAACAACAAATTTTATAAACATGAAACAGTCTTTTGTTAAACATAGAATAATAAATAATTGAGTTAGGATTTCATCCTATACTATTGACATTTTGGCCAAAAAACACTTTTTACCTTCCCTGTAGTAGCAAAACTAAGCACTCGTTAAATCTAATGTTATTTAAATTGGGAATATATATGTCTTATTTATGGAAATATTTTAGTAAAAATGTAATCAGACAAGTTGAAATTCGCTTAGTCTGCAGGTTTGCTGCGACAGGGGTATTTATTACCCTTTTTGCTGGCTAAATAACGTCCTCTCCTAAATAACATTTCTCTCCTTTTTCTTTTTCAGGTGGTCCTCATGTCTGCTACAATTGACGTTGGAAAATTTGCTAACTACTTCAAGTGCTATGCTCTTGATAGGACATTTCCAGCACCTTTCTATACTATTGAAGCGGAAAGGAAATTCACAATTCAAGTAAACTACCTAGATTCAATAGAAAACATCATTGGAAATGTAAGTAGTTTTAGAATATTGTGCTTACATGCAAATGGGCAACTGATGTTACTGTTCCCATTTCAACTGTTTCACTTTTAAAAATCCTTCTGTAAATCATGAAGTAGACTTTTCTAGTTGATTTTTAACTGTTTTCTTTGAACTAATACATTTTGCTATGCCTGTCAAGAAGTTATTAAATAGATAGTGTATCAATATAATTAAAGGTATTATTAATAGTTGGTTATTATTATGATTTAGTTTTAATATATCCTTTCTTGCACTGGTTTTAATCGTGTCCACGGTAGCCAATAACGTTGGAATCACATCAACATTTAGATGAAATTCAATGTAAGTTGGTAAAAGCTTAAAAAAAAACGTCAAATCAAATAGCTGATACTTTCAACACACTTTTTAATTTTCAATTTGAACTCGCAAACCAAAAACAACAATGAGCATTTTAAATCATAACTGAATCTTAGGAATGAAAACATCAAGTACAAAAGTGTACAACTGGAGTCAAAATTCACTTGTTCATTAATTAGCTTATTTATATTTTTACATTTTTCCTTGTTAATATACCAGACTTTTTTAGTGATGCGTTGGTTGTTATTTTATTACTGTAACCAAAGATCGGCAGATACCATCATAACTTTTTTTAAATAAGATAATGAATTATAATCTTATAGTGGTATTCGAATATCTTTAAAAAGATAATAACTCATTTTAATGTTTCTAACTTGGAAAAGTAACGTTTTTAATACTAAACTAGCTTCTTTTCTCTATCATAATATCAAAATAAATTATTTTCCTATTTATATAGAACATTTGTGTGTGTTATTTTCATAATGCATTCATTCTGAAGTAAACATAAAAGAAAGCGAGCTAATAAAAACAAGCCCATGGGGCGTAGCCTTAGGGAAATATGAAAATTAAATTATATAATATTGTATTGTCATCCATTTGCAATGTTACATGTCATATATAGACCATTCAGTTCATTCATTCATTTTAGTTATATAATTCTTAGTGATGGTCGGATCCGGATATCGGACTACCGGATCCGCCGGATCCGAGCTAGATCCGGCACCGGATCGGATCCAAAAAATTCCGGATCTTGGGCTGGATCCGGTTTTGATGGATCCGATTTTTTAAAATTTTTTCCCGGCAAGGCGATGTCTCAGTGTTTGTCTCTTGATGCAAATAACTTATATGGCAAGGACATGTCTCGATGTTTGTCTCTTTGCAAATAACTCATATGGCAAGGCCATGTCTCATTGTTTGCCTCTTGATGCAAATAACTTATATGGCAAGGCCATGTCTCAGTGTTTGTCTCTTGATGCAAATAACTTATATGGCAAGGCCATGTCTCGATGTTTGTATCTAGATGCATATAACTTGTATGGCAAGGCCATGCAGGGTGTCTACCAGTCGGGAAATCCGGGAAAGTCGGGAAAAAGTCGGGGATTTTGAAAGGCCGGGAAAAGTCGTGAAAAAGTAATGAATTTCGGCCATAGATCGGGAATAATCTAACTCCTGAAATATAATTAAAAAGTTGATATAACTAGTAAAATTAAGCACAGTAAGAAGATTAATAAAATTTCCTGTTTAAAAATATTTAAGTTGGTTGTTATTTCTTCCCCATGTTCAAAGGTTAAAATAAAATATGTCAACGTTTCAAACTTGAATGACAGTATTAGCGCTTGGCAGTGAAGGGGTGGTGGCTGTTGCCATGGAAACAGAGTCGCACCGCCCGCTAGCTGCGCAGTTTGTTTCCAAAAATAGAATCTGTTATCAGTTGTCAGCTATCCGCGCTTGCGTCTAGATTTCTAGTCTGAACCATCAAGAGTTATGGATTGAATTGTGTGAACCTGTTAGTTATGTTCTTCATTTGAAAACACAGTTAAAAGGTAAGTTCTTTGTTTATTAAATATTTACAATTAATATAATAATACTTTTGTTGCAAGCTATAATTTGACACTTTTAAAACATAATGTCCTCTAACAGAAAGCTGATTTTACAGTAAAAAATGACAAATAGGTTAATTATTATTTCAAATCTCTGACCGTCTTGTATTTATATGATCTTGTATTTTACCCAAACAGTGTAGAATAATAATAAATAAAATTACAAACCAAATACATCTACTGTACCTACAATAGTTTGTCTTTTTTTAAGTACTTCTTGTCTAAGCATTTTGTTACAGGACACCTTATCCCTTCAGAAAATTTTTTAAAGTTAATATTATTATCCTTAGTCCTTTTTTTAACATAGTTCTAACATTATATTTATTGTAAATAAATTGCGCTAATAAAAATATTGTTGTGCAACCTCTGGTTGAGTGTCGTCAATATCGAGAAGATGCTCTGTGGCAGACTGACATGATGTTGCAGAATACCACCCTTACACGAACACGATTTAATTATTCAATATATTGAAGACCAATATTTTTCAAAACTTGTTGTATTCATTCAATTTATTGCACAATGTGGTTTTTGACTTCAATATAACCCATACACGTTCGATATTATTGTCCAATATATTACAAACATTATAAACATGTGACTTTAGGCCTAAATTAAATATTGCATTCTACACTTATTCACTGCCAAACATAATTCAGTAGAACCTTGATGAACCGAGAATTACACTAGCCTACATAACTTCATTACCCCAAGTAAAATACTAAGATAATTTTTATAATTGTATTTGAATCGTATAATCTTAGTTTGTTAAAAATGGATTGTATGTTCAACAAATTGCAGTCCATTACTGTTAAGCAGTATGGTCCCAAATTATTGTTTTTGATTTTGAAACATCACAGTTCATTTGACAAAATTATAGTTGAAGCAGCCCAATGTCAAGTCACGATTGTGCAATAGTTTGTTTACAAGCTTTCTCCAGACCGTTGGGGAGGGTCAGGTCTGATAAGCCGTCTATTGTTCACCCCCAAGAAGGTCCGACCCTCATTAGTGCCGCTCGGCTGCACTCAGTGGGGAACCCAATACCACAAATCAATCTTTTAAATGAATAAAAATATTTGGTAATAATTGTTTTATTAATATTCACCTTGAAATTTCAATAAATTTGGTGTAAAATTTGACAAAAAACGGCCATTTTGACCGATTATTAATACAGTACCAAATACCAATATATAGTTCGGCCGCTTAGAAAGCGACCTCCTCCAGCATTGGTTTAGCATTAGCGCGCAGGTCGTTTTCTAAGCGGCCGAACTATAGTAGTACATTCATTAGTAAATAAATAATAGGTAAAAATTAACCGATTTTCGTCAAGTTTTACCCCCTGCTGTGCGCAATGTCACAAAAGCTGATAACGACATGGGTGATTAGTAACCATGGCAACTTGTTGAATGCGTGATGAAGGGAAACCCAAGAAATAGAAGAACAAAGAGAAAGAATGACGTTGTTATCTTTATACCCTTTTTACAATTTCTGTTATTGTTATCTTTAAGTAAGATTTTATGATTTTGTTTTATAGGTTCATAAAATAATTCTTTTTAACTACGGGAATATCAATTTATAATTTATCAACGTGCTTCTCTTCTGAAACAGCAATACCGGATGCATAATAAAGGTCAATGACCTAAAATATCACGATTGTGCAATATTGTATTTTGATGTTGAAATTAAAATCACGACAAAAGTTTGTATATATCCATGGTCCCTATCGTTTAATCATTTAATATGTACACAATCAATGCTAAATAATCGTGGTTAGTTCTAACTTTATTTTTTATTATTCAAAGTTTCTACACAGTAAGACAATCCAAAGTCAAACCGGGCAATGTATACCCAAAAACAACGTATCTTAAACTTGTCCTGTGATTGGAATACCACTCGCCGGCCAGTCCTTTAGGTTTAGGGAAGTTGTGCAAGTCTATATATAGCTTCAAGGTCGTAACCCACCCCTTACCCCTCCGGTCCTACTTGACTCACTACCCGCGCTCCTTTCGAGGTCTTTGCCCAACCCTCCCACCCTTCTATTGTGTTGCCTTTCTATTGTTTCTATTCTGACTTTTTTTCGGAAAACATTAAATCTATTGTTTATGTAACATCACAGTAGTAGGCTAGATTTTTCTACTTTGAAACAATACTGTAAAAATAAATTTACGCAGTGCCCCTAGTAGGTGTGTAGGTTTTATTTTATTTTTAACACTTGACATTGTAATTTAAAGTGTAATTTTGTTATCATTGATAAAAAGCATCTACAGTATTTATTATTATTTTATATATATATATATATATATATATATATCGTTGTTAATGCCTAGCACAAAACACAAACATTCACTGTTGTAGCTTTCAATCTTTATCTTTGTAAATTGGTGTATTGCCGTTGGTAAATAAATAAATAAAATAAAATAAAATAAATTTAAAGTAGCAAATTTATTCAGTATAATTTCAGTATTAGAAATTTTCATTTTTTTTCCAGGTGCAATTCTGAAAATGTCAAAAAAAATTAACTACCAAACATCATGGGAAAACGATTTTCATTGGTTACAAAAAAGTAAACTGAATGGATATGCAACTTGCATTATCTGCAAAAAAGACAACATATACTTCGGATCTATGGGAAGGTCTGCTATTAAAAGTCATGAACAAGGCAAGAAACATAAAGAACAAGAAAAAAACGCCAAGCTGTGCCCTCCAATCAAAACATGGTTTGCTTCAAGCCAACAAACTCAACAGGCTATTCCCCAGCAACAAGCCTTTTCTGCAGTAACCCAAGATATCGGTGTTAATCCTCTTCCTGGTACATCTAAAGATGACCCTTTTCTGGGTTTAACGCATACTCCATCAACTCTTACAACAACACCAATTTTATGTGAATCTCCCAGTGACCTTCCTACCCAAGTACCATCAAAATCAACTGAAATAAGAGAAAAATGGTGGCTTGCAAAAGACAATGTAACCAAAGCAGAAATTTTGTGGTGCCTACACACAGTCATGACACACCAATCACTACGGAATGCCGAGGCTGCTGTCAGTCTATTTAAGACC